TCAGATCTATTGTGGCGTCAGTGGGAGACGGAGAAGACTGCGAGGAGGACAGCAAGGTGCTGGTACTGGTGTCAGTGACGATATCAGCAGGAGGAGGTTCTTCACTCTCATCCCGGGCTGAAAAAGGACAGAAAGAGAAAGAAGTTCTCTAAGTAAAATGGATCCACAATGCACATTCACCTCTGGAGTTTCAAGTTTACATTTTCTGACTAAATAATTCATAGGAAACAATCACAATTCTCAAAAAAGCATACTTTGTTACAGTTCATATAAACTCTTAACATAAATTTGCTATAATTGGCAGCAAAGTCTTGTTTTCTTTGATTTCCCATAAGAAGCAAAATCTAAAAATGTAAAAAACAAAAAAAAAAGCAGCAACATTATTGTCAGGATCAAAGGTCCTGGAAAAATCAGTAAAAACCAATCAGAAGCAGCTAAAACTACGATGGGAGGACATCTCACCAGAAGAAAGGTCGCCACAGTCGGTGCTGATGTTGACCTCCACCTTCACATCCAGGCTGCAGCTTTCTCGCTCCTTTTTCACCTGTTTCTGCAAGGCTAGCTTAGCTTCTTCTTGCTGGAATACAGTAAATAAACCAAATAAATAAACTATTTATTTGTTAGTGAACATAGAATATAATTGGATGTGTTGTATGAATGGATTAAATAGAATAGAAAATGTTAGTTTTCATCGTACAGGACACAGTATTTAGATTATCGATACTGTAGACTGATAAACATAACTGTGAAGGTACATTTTGGAAACTGTAAGATAATAGTAACATAAAGGACAAATTATATGTATTCCAGACTGAAATGTACAATGTGTATACTGGAGGAGTCAGTTTTATGTTTGATTAGTGTATATATTTTTATTTTGTTACTAATATTATTGATGCGTTGTTTACACTGTAAAACATTTGAAGGTGGTTTAACTTGAAAATGAAAGTCCACCTGCTGCCTTGAAGATCCAATTTAAGTCACAAGAAAATTGTTTTGGTTTTGACTCAAATTAAAGTTCATGAAGTTGATTTAACAAGAGACAAGTTTTCTAAACAGTTTTTTAAGTTTGTTAATCTTGAATTTTGAGTTTTAACTTAATGCTGCGATTTAAACCAAATAATTATTTCACAATATGCAAGAAAATAATCTGCCCCGGTTAAAGGTCACATTTCTCTATTATTTTACTCACATTATCAAGATAAAATAACTACTTATTTTGCTTTAAATTCTTGTTTCAAATTGCATGAACAAAATTTCTGATCTGATAATGAACTTTATCAGAGGTTCAAAATCTAAAACTTGTTAAATTTATTTGACTTAAAGAGTAGAAGATAGTCGACACAAATGTGGCTCAAATGTTTTACAGTGTACGTATTGAAAATAATAACTTGAAGAAAACTTTAAAACTTGACCGTTTCTTCTGTTTACTTCTAAAACAATAAATATTGTCTAAATTTCTATTGATCAAATACAGCACTTAAAATATATAGAAATGTTTTTGTATAGTTTATTGTTTAACTTCAATCACTGCTGGTCTTAATGTCATGTAAAAATAAGACATTTATTGATCACAGCATATACTGACAGGTAAATCTAGGAGATGGTAGTAGAAATAAAACAAACCATCATGCTTCCACCACCGTGCTTTACATTAAGTAAAATGTCTCCCAGTTAGCTGCTTTCTTATAAACTCTTCGGTTCTCATTAAAGTATTTTTGTTTGTTGTTTTATTTAGTTGTGTTATAAATGCTTGAACTGTTTCTTTTATGATAAGTGGCGACAATTTGTGAATCACGTGATGATATTTTGGGCTACGAGTGTATATAATGTCAATTTAAGAATAATATTTCTTAATTCTTTGTGATTTTCCATTGAATATTGTTTTTTTCTCTCAACAATAGTTGGACATCTTTATTTTAAATTCCAATTTATATTTACCTGTGAGACATGATGAAATGTTACGTCTTCAGATGCTGCAGGAAGAGGCGCCAGCAGAGGCTGATGGTTGCCAGAAACTGAAAAATATGACATAAAACTGTATTATGCATTATTCTTTACCAAAAAAAAAAAAGCTACTCCTTTAATGCATGACTTGGTTTTCAGTCAGGTTTGCCTGAAGTTGTTCTGGACCATCATTTTTTAGGTTTTGAGATCATCACAGAAAAGGTCTACAGGTTTGGTTCTGTTAAAAAATAATGCTACAAATCAAATATATATAATCTACCACTTTCTCTCTTTAAAAACTCCTGCTCTTTCTAAAACAACGCCTTCAGGAAACATTTACATTGGCCAGAGTTTTTGTTATCGTTCGTTTTTACTGCTTTTAAATGGAGAGAAATTAAAATTCTCCTGCTCTTTTGTTTGTCCAACAGTGACACCTTGTGGTCATTTTGAATAACGGTATATTTCTTCGTGGGTTTTATGGACTGCTGAAATGAAGGAACTAGAGGGAAATTCTTAAAATAACGTCGTTGGAAAGCAGAATGAGGTAAATATGCACAATTGTGTTTTGTGATAAGACATGTTGTTTATTTAATAAGTGGTATCATGTCTTCGGTTATTTTGTTTAAGAAGGAAAACTGCGTGCTGAAAAATTAAGGACAATACATATTGTTTTTTATGAACATTAATAGCTTTATTTTATTTAAGGGAAATATAATGTTTTATTTTCTATTTGTTTTGAAAGACACTCAATGACTATTTCATTTATATTACATCATGATTAAGCCTTGGAAATTGTTTTATTGGGTTAAACATCTCCAACAATTCTGTTTCTTTTCCTCTTATGCTACAGTTTTCACAGTATCTGTTCAGTTTATCAGATATCATAGCTACATGTAGACAAGGACTTAGAGCAGGGTGTCCACAATGCCATTTGCAGCCTCTGAACGATTTCGGCCGGCCCTTGATCTCAATTCAAGAATGTCTTAATTTTGCTTTGCCGGGCAAATGGAAAAATATAAAGTCCAACACAGAGTACTCATCCAGGTTTCTGTTTTGAATGTATTTTAGTAAAAAGAGACAAAAAAATAAAAAAAAACACAAAAACTCCAGTGGTATTTACTAAAATGCAGACTTGGGCACAATCATTTAAGAAACTTTGCAAAATAAATCAAGAGTGAGCCATGTCTAGTTCTTGTTGATAAAAGGACACAAAAAATAAATAAAAATAAGATGAACTTTAAAAATGTTGGATATGGTTTGCTGTTTTTTTGTTTAATCTGGAAAACCTGCAAGAGCATTTTATGTTTGAAATCTACAATTCAATAAAATATTGTGTATATTTTATACCCACCTTTATTTATTTTTCCAAAATTTGATATTTTTGGCCAGATTGTCAAAAAGTTTGGACACCACTGCCTTGGAGTAAACTAGGAATGACGAAGCATCCAGTGTTGATATATTGGTATGGGGGGGCCCTAAATTAAGATTTGCTCAGGCCCCCAAAAAGGCTTTGGTCGGCCCTGGTGGAGGGGGATTCTGGAAGCCACGCCCACTGAGCGTCAGCCTCAGACAGCTGTTGTCACCAGTTGATCTCTCACACCAATAAGCTCGTCTGGGATTCACAGTCATCCCCATCCCCATCCTGACATAACCCCAAACCTCTCCTCTAATCCTGCTCATTCACACACCAACGGTCCCACCGGCGCCATCTCCGTCCGTTTACCTTCTCCAGGCTTCAAATGGACGGCGTACATTTCCTCCCGCTGGCGGCTCCTCCTCAGCCTCTTCTCGCAGCTCCTCATCTTCACGTCCATTTCCTGCAGCCTCTGCCGCAGGGCATCGTTCTCCTTCTGGCTCTTGTCAAGCTCCAGGTCCATCTGGGAGCGCAGAGCCGCATAGCCAGCGTCCACCAGTTTGCAGATTTCCACCACCGCCGAATTGGCCAAAATCTCTATTACCGAGGCGATTTGCGCCTGGAAGCCCAGACAGTCCTCCATCATCCCCAGCGGTCTTCCTGGTGCCGTCTGGATGGACTCATACAGACAAAACCAGCCTGCTTCTTCCAGTTAAAGTGTCTGCTGTTTTTAAACTGTCATGTTCCGATTCCCGGCAAGGCGCGCATGCGCAGACATGAGACGTTAGAAACGAACAGGAATGCGTCACAAATGAATAAGTGACAAGTTTGAATTATTGGTGATACGCTAGATAATTTTTATTCGACGAATATATAAAATACTACGACGGCGCATTAGAGACATTGTAGATAGAAAAAAATGAGTCAATTTCTGCCAAAAATGTACAAGAAATTTTGAGATTCATCTATTAAATTTTCTAATGAAGAAAATAAAGGAAAACTTCTGAGTTTGTAAAAGTCAAGAATTAAAAAATAACTCCGAAATTTTTAGATTAATCTGAAAGATGTTCTAGAAAAATAAAAAAATTAAATAAAGTCAGAATTTTTAGGAAAAGTTTGGAATTCTGGGAAAAAAGTTAAAATTCAGAGAAAAGTCAGAATTCTGAGATTAAAATCTGAATTTTGAAAAAGAAAGTATGAGTTCTGAGGTTTAAGTAAAATTTTTGGAAAGAAATCTGAATTTTGAGGGGGAAAAAATTAAATTTGCAAGAAAAAAACTCAAATTTTGAGATTAATCTGAAAAATTTGCAAGAATTTTTTTTCTGAGCGCAAAAGATAAAAATAAGATGAAAAGTCAGGATTCTGAAAAAAGTTACAATTCTCAGGTTAAAATCAAAATTTTGAGAAAAATAAAATCAGAATTTTGAGAAAAAATAACAAATCTGAGAACAAAAAACATTCTAAGAAAAAAATTCACAATTCTGAGATTAAACTCAGAAATTTATTTGTTTGTACTTTGGGGGTCCTAATCCTATTAGGATTCAGAGTCAGACTGAGAGCTAAATTATCTGGTTAGGCAGAGTATCTTAACAATAATAATTAATAATAATCTAAATTTTGTGTCTTACCAGTTTGATTAAACTGATTTCACATATTATGTAAATGAAAATGCAAAACAAAATAAATCCAGACATATTTATAACATTTAGATCTTTTTATTAACATTTTGTTTGCATTCAGCTGTTGAGTGAAGAAAAGGCAGCAAAATTCAAAGCTTAACCAACTGAATACTTTGGTGCAGGAAGCGTTTCACAATATTAAATCAGTGTCTTGTAAACTGGACAGATAAAGATTTTAAAGTACGAAAAAGCAACATGGAGGCATTCATCACTGCTTTCTGCTCCTCCTGTAGTTTGCGTTCACCTCTTTCTCAGACATTCATCGACAACAAAAGGAACTGGAAATGAGGAAAAAATGCAGGTAAATCAACTTGATTTGTCGCTAAATCAAATTTAAATTTGATTTCAGCCGGAGTTATGTGAGGGTTTTTACCTGCATTATGTTCATTCTTACTCTTCCCCTGTTGTGTTCATCCAGGGCCTGGAAAACTCCTAAATAAGAAACACAATTCAGTCTAAATTAAGGTTACTATAGTTAGCTACAAAAACAAAACAACAAAAATAAACTAAAATAAACTAGTGACTAATGGGAAAAATAACCAGTTTCCTTCTGGCGTCACTTACGCCAGCAAACAAAATGGCAACAGAAAAGGTTGGGTGAAAACGCCAGAGTCAACAATAACTAATAATTTGAAAATTTTATCTTCTGTTAAGTGTTCTTTATCCAATTAATGTTTTCATAATCACCATGCAATACTTTAATTTTAATTCTGCACCTAAAAATTAATTAAAATTATGAAATAGATAAAACTACAAACTAAAACTAAGCAATAATAACTAATAAAAACTAGAAAACACACTTTAAAAACTGAATTAGACAAAAAGTTACCAAAACAAAACAAAAAAAACCTATTATAACTCTGGTCTGAATTGTGGCAAATCAAAAACATTCATCAGGGATTAATATTGTTCAATCATAAATGTTGATTTTTACTGCTGTCTCTAATGAATAAGTTAATTTTTTTAACGTACTGAACATGTTCTCCAGACGGACGATGCAGGTGAGGTAGTCGTCAAAGTCGATGTCGTAGTTATCGTCTGCGAACCTCAAGCCAATCAGCTGCAGCAGCTGGTTGTTCAGGTTCATACCTGCATGAACCCAAGCAGAGTTTAGACGTGACCCGTCACTTCATGTAATGAGATCCACTTCAACAATAAGTCGCACATTTTCTGGGCTTTCAGATTTTAACTGGAAGGGTCGTAGAAAAGTCTCTCAGAAAACTTCATGAAAGTCCATATAAAAATATTGTTCCTAAAAATGCATCCTAAACAAATCAGAACTAAAAACCTACCAGAATCCATCTAACCAGTAATATCATATTATTGTTTTCTAAAATTTACTCTCAGTCCTTCTTTGACAGAAAAACAACTTTGTAAAATCCAGGCCCTTCTTTTACGCCTCACTTTGTTCTCCTCCCATCTTCCTGCGGGAGGCAAAACTGACTAGCATTGGTTTTAGCTGTCAAGTTGTCAACATAACGCGCCAAATCTTAAATGTACGCATGATATATAAAAGAAAAAGAGACGCAGCGCTTTGCTACTTGTCAAAAATTCGACAACTAGATAACTAGGAAAAAGTTTTAACAAAACAAAAATAATGACTGAGAGGGAGGTTAGTTATGCTAGCTTGACTTTGACAACTTAACATTTAGATGTGCTGTGGAATCCGGTCTGTTTCGGTTCAGTGACAAAATAAAAAGGTGGCCTACACACCAACTCTGACAGATCATCAATAGAGAGCAGGTGTTTAAATGAGCTAATCTACCACAGCGGTCACTTATTAATAATCACAAAATAAACATCAAGCCTAAAACATGAAGCTGTAACGGACTGAATGTCTGTTCATTGTGTTGTTGGAGACTTTCACGTCTCCAGTTAAGGTTCACTGATGCAGGAGATTCCAGAAGAATCAGTGAGTTAAAACCAACCAAAGTTTATTAAAAATACAAGATATATCTTGGATATCCACTCAAGCACCAAACATGCAAAGAGTTATCCAAAGGCAAAGAGATCTGAAGTTTCCCCCAATGACTGTCTCACTGTGCTCTGCAGATCAAACCCCGCCCTGCTCAGAGCAGGCTCAGCCTTTTGTTTTAAGGCCAGCAGTCATAAAAGGTTTTATTGAAGCTACAGAGAAAAGATGACCACTTTGAAGCAAACAGCTTTGATCTGTAACCTCAATTCCTGTCTGGGACAAAGTTATAAAACTAACAACCATTTGATTCATCTCCTCTTTAATCCACCTTTTGGCTCCTACTGTGAAAAGCCAGGGCCCTAACCAAGCTGCAGGATGTCGTTATCACGTCCTTATGCAAATCCGTCTTACAAGATACCATTTGTAAGACTCACACTGGGAAGAAAATGCAGAACAGAGTAAGGCTCCACTTGTACTTTCCTTGCAACTCATCAAGGTAGATTCATGATTATACATCAATGTAACATTCAACAAAAATCACTTTAGAATATTTCCACAGTGCGGGAAACGTTTGAGTGTTTTTTGGTATTGAATCCTGACGCATATTGTGGAGCCGTTGTCAGTCAGTTGCTACGGCAACGTGTCAGTGTAGCGTAGCCGATACACAGAGCAAAAAAAAAAATATGAGTGGTTTAAAGTTGTTCCTCGACTGTTTTTTATGTCATTTTCCCCTTTGCTGTGGCGCACAGCACTGAATCAATCAACCTACATCTCCAGGTTTCATTTAGTTAACGGAGTTGTTCTACCGGGCAGCGCCGGCATTAACAGCATGTGAAAGAATAATTTTTTTGCCCTCAAAAAGATTACTTTGGGTATTTTTCCCCCCACAACACCCACTCCACCAATATCTTCACTGAAGAGCATATTGCTTATAAAAAGTCCTTCTTTTTAAAGTTAAAATATATTTTTATAACGTATACGAAGCTGGTCAGTTTACTCACCTGCGGCTTTAAGAGCTGTGCGAAGCTCATAGGAAGACATTTTTCCTGACCGGTCGGTGTCAAAGGACAGGAAGAGCATCTGCAACAACAACCTGGTCTTAAATAACTTCACAATAACAACAGCAGCTAAATTTACTCAACCCTTCACCAATAAAATATTTCACCACATAAATCAGTACATACAATCCATTTCTTCATCTTGTCCCAAAACACCTTAAACTCCTGGAACTCCATCTTTCCTGTGTTGTCCACCTGTTTCACTATGTTAGGAAAAATCTTTACCAACATCTTGATAATCACATCATCCAGTATCACCAACCTATTTCTCATAATCTATTAAAAAAGTACAAAAATCTTACAGGAACTCCAGTCATTATCTCCGTTTATAACATTACAGGGATATTTCAAGCTTTTCTTGAACTGGAATCCAGATCAGTTCTTCTCACGATGAACAGAACCGAGCCATCTCAAATAAAATGTTCTTTTTAAATCCACTAGAGCCTAATTAATATCCTCCAATAAAGTAGTCCACACAATCCAACAGAATCACCTTCAAAACTTCCTTCAGATGTGTCTGTTTATCACAAAGTTTTTATCATAACTTCTATTAGCAGGATATTTTTTTAAGCTTTTTGGGTAAAAAAGAAAAAAGGCAGGAAATTTAATACCTAAAGTTAAAAGCTAATGCTAAATCTTTCTTAAGCTGTAGTAGCTTTCTGTTGCCTTTAGGGGGCGGTGTTCCTGCTTCTGTTGATTCATTTACTAGATTGGTGAAAAGCTAGAAGTTATTGTTGATAAAGTCGTTCACCACACTTTGAGATGTCCTGTTTTGGTTAAGACCAAACATCCTTTTTAAAACATTTCCTCCTTCTAGCAGAACAGGAGCCGTTTTAAACCTGCAGTCATGAGGTGGAAGGATACGTCCATCAGGTTGATGATGCTGTGGCAGGTGCTCAGACTCAGGCCATCAAACTTAATCTCTCTTCCTGGAGACAAAAAAAAACAAAACATGTAATTATTAAAAAAATGTCTGCTTCCGGTTCAAGCAACAGATTCCTGAGAAAAAAAGGTCAAATCAACGCCACATTTTTTAAAATACAGAAGAAATTGGGACTTTGTGTTTTGTTTGTGTTATTTAGATTTTTCTTTTCCTAATTGAGCACATTTTGTTTTCCTGTTTCAATTCTTTATTATTTATTAGCACCAAGAAGTGACTACTTTATCCATTTGTTATTTCAAGTTTTGTGTTTTTGTGGTGTAGTTATTTTGCTCTACATTTTCTTCTCTTTTACATCCATTCTGATAAAAACAAAGATCTAGTTAGTTTGCTTTCCTACTTACGTCTGCTGAGAACACCGTTCAGCATCTCCTGAAGCTCTCTCACACAGATCGCTTTATCCTGTCGTTACATTGAGGAAAAATAAAAGTTACTCGTTTGCTGTTCATTTAAACTCTGGGAGTCTAGGAGAGCGTTTCTTACCGAACCGGCCAGCTGCTCAAACAGCCTCCTCAGGTCTTTCTCTTCCTCCGTCTCGTCCTCTGGAGCGCTGGGCAACGGTGGCTGCAGGACGAGACAAAACCTCAGGACCAGCAGACTCAATTTGTTAACTCAAGATATGATTTATTAAGAGCAGAACTGGGTGGAGAAGCAAGAGTAGCACTACTTCTACGTATCTCTACTCAAGTAAGGAAGCCGTCCAAGAAACAAGAAAAGAAAACGTCTTTGGTAAAAAGGCGATTCAAGTAACTGATCAAAACATCATTTAATATTTAAAAATTACATTATTAAATTAAATTACATTGTTTGTCTTGTTTTTGTGCCTCAATTTAGACAAACTAGTTATTTAAAATTTGAATTTTAACAATAATTTGCTCAAAGAAAAAAAACAGTATCCAGAAATTTTTATTCAATTAAGAGTAAAGATACTGCAAGTAGAAGTAAAGATACAAAACAGAAGTTCCTACCAGCTCTGATTATCAGTGACTTATTTACCTCAGGTAAATCTGCGTCCACATTGGTCCCCATCTCTCTGTTGAACACGAAGCATTTTGTTACAGCTGTAAGTCGTAAAACATTTCGTTTTGTTACGGGTTTGAGTCCTGGATTGACGCTGTACTCACATGGCTTCGGCCTTTTTCTCAGAGAAGATGCGGATGACGAAGTCGGCCTCGTGGTGCGGCTGGAAGGTGGTAGGGACCAGCAGGTATTTCCCTGGCGGCAGAGTGAAGCGCTCCGACACTTCCCGCATGTTGATGTACGTCCTGCTGCGCGCCTTGGACGGGTGGTAGCGGAAGAAGTCCTTCCCCACCTGGTCCTCTTCGTCCGGAGCCTGAGAAGGACAGAGGAGGACATGAGGTCTGAGTTTGAGGGAATCCTCTTTGAAACAAGAGGAAATCATATGGCCAGTTTATTTTCTTCTGAAGGAAGGGCAACCGCTAACTGAAGCTAAA